CACACACACACACACACACACAGACACACACACATAAAACGACACAGAACAAACAACGCAACAACACTCCTAGTCCCTTAGTAGTCATCTCATAACTCTTCGATGCAGAAATCAGATAGGCGACGCTCGCAAGACTTGGTATAAAACCGCGCGGACGCAGAGCTAACTCATATCGGCTCGCAATGCATGCCTACGCAAGTAGTCGCAATGACAGCGTACTACGTAGTACCCTTACCCACGCGGTCCTCGGCAATCTCGAGGGTCTCGTTCGACACTCAAGTGTAAGCTGACACGCACCTTGAGGGGTTAATCTCTTGACGCTAGACAACCGCCGAGTGCGGTTGAGAACCACACCATCTTCTGCACCTTGTGGAGAGTAGGTGGTACACAGGTTCATACCTGTGGTGGCAATCGTCTCTTATCGTCCTAAAGACCAGCTCCATCATCTAGGGCCTGGAGAAAAATCAAGGGGTTTGACTTTGACGGCTGCCATGGACTACAACGTTCAACTATAAAAACTTCAAAAAACAAAAGATAATAGGGGATCTCCCTTTTCTCTCAAGAACATAATTTGTTTAACCCCTACGCGTGGTCACAGTAGGGTCTGCGAAACATTCAAGACATATATATTTACATATATAGAGAGGGTTATAATTATGTGACGATCACTTCTCACAATCACAGTGGGACTCCTCTCAGCCATATATATGTATATGGTCGTAAACAGTCAAATCCAAAGTCCGAACCACCAAACATATCTGCAATCACATCAAAGATTCAACCAAAAGTCCATGCACTACACGGGGTCAACTTCAACCATCCTCTGCACTCACACCGCTCGCTTTAGCCATGCAAGCCTCAAATCGTTGAGAAAATTTCGAGAGTACGCACGCGCATTGTTATGACGCGCACTGTGATGGTTAATATCAGTAGTAATACCCTCCGACCGAGAAGGTCGAGGGGTTGATTGAGTTAATGTTGTGTCGGGTAGATTTACGACACACACTGAGACTTGGGCTGGTACCTGTCTACGTATCGGTACAGACCGGCAAGCGTGCACACACGCAGACTTAGAAACGGGCTCAGACCACTAGGTGGACTGAACCCCACTCCTCTACATATATCTGAGCTCCTCCTTTTTTAACCGAAGTAGGAGCTAGCTCAGTGGGTTTCGATGCGGATTGAGAATCAGGTGACTCGGGGATTGAATCCATCCGACCCTGAGCTAGCTCCTTTTTTTTGCAAGGAGCTCGACTTTAGC